TTATTCTTTAAACCTTTTACAGGTTTTACTATGAAAAAATATTAAATACCGTAATAATATAGGCTACATTTTTATATCATTTAACATTTATAATGAAATGAAAACTAGCTTGCTGCAAAACACATGTAGGCCTATAAAGCATAAAGGGCTTATATTATTTATTAATATCACTCCAGTCCACCATGACCCCTTTCTTTTTAAAGCGCCCCATGGGGTGCTATGAAATGTATACTTCATTGTTGCACATTTTCCCCACACAGCTCATGTTATTTACAGTCTAGACCTTTCATAAAGCCTATTAATATCTTGCAGAGACAATCCATATAAGTAATAGCTTGCTGTAGCATCTTAGTGATACAGCTTGAAAATTGCTAAATCTCTCGGTAAGCACTTGTCTTATTTACTTACCGAACCCCTATGAAGGATGTGGGGTGTGTGTCTGTGCGTGTTTATACAGACCTCCATATGTGTGGGAAGCTTTACTCCGCTCGAATAAAATGTGGTTTCAGCTGCGTCAGTGCAGCGGGGCACTACCAATCAGGCACAAACCTCTTCAATCAAAACCACCCCTCTTAAAATTCCTCTCATTCCTGCTTCTTAAGACCTAATAATGTTGAAATTAAATGGATTTGGAACACTGGCACATCTGCGAGTGTTTATGTGCGACAAATCTCGTCATACACAAATATACACTTGCGTGCGCTCTCTTTCGCATGTGAACGGTGACATGAGCTACTGCATGGAAAGGTTGTCTATATGCACAATAGACTCAAACTTTAGCTACCCTGGAGACATGCACGCATGCATGTTATCACACAATTGCTTTGGCGATTTTCCTACATGTTCCACAGGGGCTCCGGACTGTCATAGCCGTTCATCTGGCCTCTATCAGAGCCCGGCCTGACAACTTAATCTCAGTCATTCATTCTCACAGATCAAAGCAACACGCTGAAATTTAAACCTATGTGTATAAAGACATTCACATGTTGTGACCCTCTCTCACACACAAATACACAAAAAATGTTTGCATACAGACATGCATGCAAAGACCACCACAAGCCTACAACCACAGCGAGATGCATATCCAAAAACACACATGCTTGCAAAGATATTTGATTCTCCATTTTGACTTCACGCTATAATAATTGGCTACATTTTGTCATAGTTATGACTTTTTATATAATAATTTTGGCTTTTTATCTTATAATTTGAACATATCATCATTCATTTATTTTTTTATCTGGTGGAAATGGAAGTGTCAATCTTAAAAATTTGGAGTAAAAACAATTTTTACAAAAAAATTGCTAGTAAGTTTCACAAATAATTACTCATCACAGTAAGTAACATGTTGAATTAAAGTAGAAAGACTTAAACTGTACTTTCTTGTACTTGTAAAAAAAATTTTAGAACTTTGAAAAATAATTTATCATGGGTTCAATTTGACTTCACACATTTAAATAGGCTACAAAGGCTTAAAAAAGCCACACACAACCAATATGACACAAAGCAGATTCTGCCTATTAAAATTCCTCATTCAACCTCAATGAATACAAATGTGGGATGTGCCTAATTTCAAACATCCCTTATTACAAAAAAAAAAGTGTTTTTCATTATCCAGTATAGTGCTGGAGAAACAATCATCTAGCTAAGTGCTTGAACATGCCAAATTCTCTTAGCCATCTTGGATCTGATGGTCGTTGGTCGGATGATTGAAATTGCTGTAATGAATGTGGTTTGTTTGTTAATATCTGTCATTTATGGCAGGGTTGCCATGATTACATTAACATACGGTGGGAAACAACAGTCTATGATTCACCTTTGACCTTTATACTGACATGTGCAATACACAAATAAGCCTGCAACCTTAGCCAGCATGCAGGAACGGATACAATGGATGTTGGCAATGAGAAAGGCTGTTTTTTTTTAATGGATGTCAATAGAGGAGAGGCTATCGAAAATTTTCTTTCTTTCATGACATCTGAATAGGAACGCCAATGTGTCATCTGTTTTAGGTGGGAATGGTTGTTTCTAATTCCAGGCATAGATCATCTCTTCCTGTTTTTGGCATGCACTCAGCCAGTGGATATAAGGTGTGCTACACTGATAGCCTAAGGGTCATCCAGTAGACCAGACATCCCCGACACGCTTACAAAATGCAAGCTAGACACTGAAGTTGCTTTTTTATCCGCAATTTGTAATGGCCACAAAAAAGACCATGGGAACAGCCAGAGGAACCCCACACAGTTAACTTTTGAATTATGCAATGACATCTGGTTAGATTTGACCATGTATGAAGTCAGCAAAAACAGCAAGAGGGATATTAGAACGAGGTTTCTCTGTCTGCGCAATATAAATTATGTATCAGAACGCTGCTGACAAACATAAGAGGGGGAAAAAAAATTTAGTTGAATGTTTTCGGCTGTAATTTTCTCCTCCATTAAACCGTAAGACTTAATGCACATGTTTAAAGGCAGACACACAATTACTATGATGTCAAATCATGCTTTGATTCTGTCAGAAAAGTTGACAGCCCTTAAATCAAACCTTCTTAAAAGAACAGATTCGTCCATTTTTCACATCTGCAAGTAATAAATATTAATAACTCACAGCTAATTCACCATCAATAGGATTAACGTGATCCCCAATAAAGATAGTTATTGCTCATGGAGTCTGCAGGGCGGCAGAAAGGCCCACAGCCGGAATAATGTGAGGTTTGGAGATGAAGGTCTGCTTTCTGAGCTTTTTTATGACCTGGAGTGCAGCCAGCCGCTGTAGTGACTATCAGGAAGGGGAATGAAAGCATGAAGAGATATATGTAGGATATGAGAATGGGGGAGGAAAATTAATAAAGAGCAGATATATAGGAATGAAAGATGAGAGGATTCAAAAAGCAAGAATTAATGTGAGTGTTCATGCATAACGAGCATCCTAGACACAACTACTCATTCTATATTATTTAAAACACATAAATGTTAAATTTAATGTATAAACAAAAAAAAAATGAAAGGGATAGTTCACCCAAACATGAAAATGTTGTCATTAATTACTCCCTCATGTCGTTCCAAACCTGTAAGACTTTCGTTCATCTTCGGAACACAAATGAAGATCTTTTTGAAGAAATCTGAAATCTCTTTATGAACTTTTTGAAGCGTCAAAGTTGCGTAGCTGTCAATGGAGGGGAAAATACTCTCAGATTTCATCAAAAAGATTCATCCGCAGTCATGCAGAGCTCGAGCACAACCAAAATAATGTTCTTCCGCAAAATGCATGCAGTTTTGTTTTTTAACTGCTAGAGGACCAAAACTTAAAAGTAAGTGTATTTGCATATTCTTTTTTTTTCTTTGTCTCTCTCATTTTTATTCAATACTAAAGTACTGGCTATGTTTACTTGTGTGTTAGTCAGATGCCTATTGCTTCCCATTGATCCCTTCTGCAACAACTGAACATGGTGTGTGGGAAAATAATTACATTTGAACAGATTTGGTGTTTATGTGTGTTAGGTGGGATTGTTTTTTTCATTTGTTTATTCATGTAGACAGCTGAAGGTAACTATAAGGGCTTAGTTAAGTTCAAAAGAACCTAGCATAGATGCTAGATGACTTGCTGTAATTTGCACATATTGTAAACAGCTTTTACGTAACTACAATTAAACTTTGCCTCAAAATGCTCTACCATAAAACCAAAGACTTAATTTGAACGTATTTTGTGTAAATACATGTATGGCTTTGAAATACATTTTCCCCATTAGCACAATACATTCCCTTTCATCTGGCATGACTGGCATTTATTTACTTATGAATAAATATGCCCATTAACAACTGATGTAGACTATGTTGTGGAAAACAATAAGATCATTGTATTTTCCCCCCCAAATAATTTGTAAATTGAGGCTTAATGAGTTTTTATTTTTGTCTTTGAGAATTTTTATGTGTATAGGAGTATAAAGAGAACTCAACATCTGTTTTAATGGGCAAGAAACAGGCAGGACAAGTTGGCAAAGTGACACATTCAGCCATGATGACACCACTAGGGGGATTTTCGTCCTTTGTTCATGGTGAAACTCTTTAAAGGAAAGGTTAACTGATATTTTACATTTTGACTATAACTCCACAAATATTTAATGGGAGAATATATAATCTGTTACTAGACTGTGCCATCTGATTATGTCAAAGGCTGAAGGTTATCCTGATCTTTAACCAAATTCATTTCCATTAGGTTTGCGTCTTCTTAACACTCAAAGCTCAAACTCTGAAATGGTTCAGTTCTGTGAACTACATGTAATGTATTGTTAAAATATACATAACCCCCTCCTTTAAATGCATAAATGTCAGTTGTTTTATGTGCATGAGTTATGATTTCATTAACCACAATGCAGACATAAACATTCATAGTGCTGTATCTCTTCATGTCACATCCTTCTATAGTAGTCCACATATTATTGTATATGTATTTAAATTTTCCTTGAATGAAACATCAAAGTATACTGTAGTTATACTGTACCCATACTGTAGTTCAAAACTAGGAGGAAAAGGCACATAAAGTAACATCTCTCACCCCATTAAGGAGAGCAGGTTTTGGTGCTGGCATATATATATATATATATATATATATACAGTTTCTGTAATTCTCCATGTGGCTAGATCACATTAACTTTGCTTTCCAGCCTCAGGAATCTTTCATACACTAACCTTCAGAATCACCAAGCAAAAGACCCAGACAAATCGTGAAAAAGAAATATATCAAAAGTTTCAGCAAATGAGTTTTCGCTGTATGGAAAAGATAGGTGCGGACTGACAAGGGTGAGTAAATAATTCATCATTTTCATTTCTGGTTAAACTAGGCTATCCCTTTCATTTTCTGTTATCAATTGGTATCACAGAAAATCCCAGGATGCCTCTTTCCGATATAGGACGTTCAGTGGCATGAATCACAAAGGTACTGAGAAAACATGTCTGGTACAGTGAACAAAAATGTCATCAAGATCACTTGTTTGAAGTAGGCAGGGAACTGCACTAGTTTAGCGTTCCACCGTGAGGCAGTAGAGTGCTCCTTTACAACCCGTTCAATGCTTCAGATTCAGGCCAGTGGATCACAGTCATTCATCTGTGCTCCTGGGAAGCTGGAACAACGCTGCCCATTACGCAGAGACCCGACACACTGCTATTACCAAAGTGACCTGCGTGTTTTTCCACTCGTTTGCCTTCAGTTTGAAAGGACTGTCATGTCCGAGCACAAGAAAGACAACAGTTCACTCGTCATCTGAGTGCGCAAAAACAACAATATTAAAGGAATGAACCGCGTGCCGTTTGAACAGGTGCATCCCAGATCACCACCACCATCAGAAAAGTTCTTTTACTGACTCGCTGTGGAAATGGATTACCAGCTGCTGGATTTCATGCGACTTTTCATGCAAACTCTGTTTCCAAACGGACAGTGAAGGAGATCTCTCCAAACTCAACTGACCATGCACTGGGACATGCATCTTCTAACTATGGATAACTAACCTGCCTTTACACACACTACTAAACATGAAACCCCTTTGGAATCCTCAGTTTGTGATGGTGATATTGAAGTGCGCAATGGTCTTGTTTCCTGGATTCCTGCAGGGCTTCACAGGTGAGTTATCTATCTATCTATCTATCTATCTATCTATCTATCTATCTATCTATCTATCTATCTATCTATCTATCTATCTATCTATCTATCTATCTATCTATCTATCTATCTATCTATCTATCTATCTATCTATCTATCTATCTATCTATCTATCTATCTATCTATTCTCCTTTCTCTCTTTCTTTTTCCTGTCTGTCCTTAAACTTTGATTCATATATGTTATTTTCATATATATTCATACTTGAATATACATGAGCCACTGATTAAGGATTATATAATGATGTGTAAATTAATTACATTTTTAAATGAGTTTAAACAGATGTCGAAAGAGAATTATGATAAACTTACCAAATATTGCTTATTCATTTTGTGGGAAGAAGGGTCCATTAAAATAACTAGACTTCTCCATGTAATAATAATCAAATTGTCAGATGTATTAACTTGGTGTGAGATCTGGTTTCCATTTTTATGCATTTAGTGTTTATTTAAAGCTTAAGCTGTGTAATATTTCATATTTTCATAACTTGATAACATCCATTTTTATACTGACACTTTTAATGTATTCTTATTTATCACTTTCTTAAATGATGTTAAACTTTTCTTTCACTTTTCTTGTCACACCTAACTATTGTTGCAGTGCTGCAATCTTTGCAGGAGAAATGGCACAGCTTTTGTGAAAGCCCAACTGTGAGGTTCATTAAAGGCTCAGGTTGTCAAACATTGGTTTGTGACATGCCAGAACCTGACTGTAGTGTTTACAGAAGTTCAGTGTTCAAAAATGGTGCATTTCAGTTCATCAACATGAAAGTTTGCAATGCATGATTCATTTGTGAATGTATGTGCAATGCATGCTGTCTCTTTTACACAGAGTCCAGATGTGTTGGTCGTGCTTGCAGCCCTCCTCTGGGTAACTTGGCCAGTGGCAGGACCCTTTTCACGCTGACTAGCTGCTGCACTAATAGCTCTTCCTGCCTGCCAGCCCAGCCACGCTGTCTAGCAGAGCTTCATCCTCCTGCCCTCATGGCCGATGACCCGTTTATTCATCCAGATACCTGGTGGGCCTCAGCGGCGGCCACTGGAGAAAAGGAAGAAATCCGTCTTGACTTGGAGACACGGTTCTGCATGAGTCACGTTGTGATGTTGTTCCGTTCTCCACGTCCTGCTGCTATGAGGTTGGAAAGCTCACAGGACTTCGGCCAGACCTGGGAGACACTAAAGCTGTTTGCCAGGAACTGCACTGAGATGTTCGGGCTTCCTGATGATGTAAGTCAAGCAGGAGCTGTCTGCACTTCCAGATATTCCAAGGCGGTCCCGTGCAGCCGAGGAGAGGTAAGGAAGGGAATAAGGTCTCCAAAGCACCACAAAACATCATTTTAAATGCTTCAGCAGGATTAAATAAAGGATTTTCAATGCTTAGGTCACTTTTTCAAAACTCTTTACACAGTGAGCACAACAGCAGTTTACATGGGCAAAACTGTGGGAAATTTTCTATTGCTTTGGCACAAAATGCATTCAGTGACTACTTTTTTTCAAATTAAAAGTAACCCCCAAAAACTGTACCTAGGCCAATTTGTACATGTTTACTCTTTTCAAAACGGTTCAACTTAAGTTCAAATTCTAACATAATACAAAACTGAAAATGATTGCAATTTGCTATATTTCTGCAGTCATACCATATTTAAATATATTCTAAATCTAAAAAAGGAAATACTATGAAAAATATTAGATGTAGACGAACATCTACTACACAGGTGTTAGTCTTTCAATTTCATTGCCATCTATACAAAAGGGGACAACTTGGGAATAATTTTGGACTGTAATGTAAACTTGGACAATGTAACATAATACTGCAGGGGATTTAGTAGAAGAGAGTAGAGAGGTGTCATTCTTGTTTTGTAAAGATACTTTACAAAATAAATCATTGTGTAATGCTTCCTGTTGTTAGTGTTTTTAGGTCATTGTTTGAGTGGGTCATTGAGTGACAAAGTGTGTTTTGTTGGGTGAAAACCTTTGCTAGTTATGGAAGAAGACGTGTGATATGTTTTGGTAGTTATAGTGCATTTTGAATGTAAAATTTATTGCTGAGCCAAGCTGAAAGTTGGTAAGAAGAACTGTGTGAAGAGTTTAGAAAAAGTGACCTAAGTACTGAGAAATGCTATAGCTATTGTAACTGTAACAATATATTTAAACACTAAAAGCCCTTTTACTTGGTAAAAAGTATAAACCTTCAATCAGACGTCAGAAGGCATGTAGTAGATTGTGCACAACCGCTTTTTCAGCAAAGTTTTGATTATTTTAATAATTTAGAGGCCTTAAAATTTTACATATCAAATATGATAGGCTTTATAAGGTTAACCGGCGTTTAAACCAAATATTCCCCCATTCGAGTACAACTATGGTGAATTTAAATCTCAGTTCTGTCTGATGCTTTTTGAAATATGACAATGCATCATCATTTGTTTTCTAATTCTTTTATAGATCATATTCCGATCCATAGGATTGGGAAGTGGGATTGTCGATCCATACAGTCCTGAGGCGCTATCCCGTCTGACAGTAACTAACTTACGAATACAGCTTTTAAAATCTCAACAGTGTCCCGTCTCGAAGGGGCAGCGGAGCGTCCCGCCCTTTTTACCCACAATTCACAGCAGGATGCTGACTTCTCCCACACCCAGTTCTGATCCCCTGGATTCAACCCCATTTGCTGTGTACTCTCTTTTGGCTAAAGGGACGTGTTTGTGTCATGGCCATGCTGAACATTGCCTTCTTGAAAATGAAGGACAAGACAGCTTGCAACCCAGTAATGTGGTAAGTGTGTCCGTTTTGTTAGTGATTTTTGGGACAAAGAACAGCGCAGCCACTTTTCATGGTGGGTAAGCATGATATGGGCTTGAAGTTTGTCCATTAGTTCCATATCGCCCTGACCTGAATTTGCCTTTGTAGGGCCCATATCTCAAGCTAATATCATTTATTCCTACATTCGCCCCACCATGAAATATTGGCTGAATGCATACTTGAGGGTGTAGCCTATATTGTGCACTCACCCGGTAGTTAGGAGAATAGGAAGTGGCCTGTTAAATGTATTTTTATAAGGCTTTGTGGGGCTTGAATGGGCAGCAACTGAAAGTGATTCATTTCTCTGGAGCGCAGGTGTCTGGCAAGTGTGTGTGTACCCACCACACAGCGGGCGATCACTGCGAGAGGTGTACCCCGCTCTTCAACGACCAACCCTGGAGAGCAGCCAATGGAAGCAGCGGGGAGAGCAACCCATGCCAGAGTGAGTGCATTTACTGTACGGGCTGATTTACCCTTAAATTCCTTTAATCCTTGAAAATGGAAAGGAATTTGTGCCATGAAAGGTTTTTTTATATATAAATTTTTACTTTCTAATGCAGGAGGGATTGTTGTTATGTTACTGTAAGCAATGATCCAGAACACAGAAACAAGAGTCTGAACATCTTAGCAACCACATAAAGTATGCATTGGCAAATACCAGCAGTACCCTAGGATTTTTGTAGCAAAAAAAAAACAACACGTTATTTTGACAAAGTAAAAAATATTTCAAAATTTTGTACATTATCATTTTATGATTTTAAGAATCTCCAGATTCGATTGTACCTTAAAATAAACATAAACAAAACATATTTTGCTTAAAGAAAATAAAGCCTGTTTTAGAGCCATTATGGTTATTTTAATATATTAAAAGTCTCATTGTCATTACTGTAATGCAATTTAAATATATTAAAAGTATTTTTACATCATGATATTATTGTACTGTTTTTAAATAAAATAATGTTACGGTATGCTAAATGAAAAAGTAACAATTAATTCATAATTAATTAATATATAAATAAATAAAACGACGATTGCAATATTGAGAATCTAGTGAGAATCACAGTTAATGTAAATAATTAAATAGTGAAATTCTGGAAGAATATCGGTTTATTGTGATTCAAATCTGAGGTTTGAAATAAACAAAAAATATATAAGAAAGTAAATATAAATAAGAAAATGACTACATTGCAGAATTGTTAATCTAGTGAGCATCTCTATTACGAATAATGGAAGTTACAAAAGAGTGAAATGGCTTATTTTATTATGATTATTAAAATTGTAAATGAGATAAAAAAAAATGTCTGTACCGTATTGTAATATTGAGAATCAAGTGAGAATCGCTATTAAGAATAATGTAAAATACAAAAGAGTGTAATTAGGCTGTGAGACAGAGGGTTGATTGGTACCATTTTTAGGGATTAAACCGCATGGCGATTTTTGTGTAGGTATATGACCCTGTATTTGAAAAATGTGTGATAGCATTAGATTCAAGGTAGTTTTTGGTTACGGAGGACGATTTTCAAACATATGTCAAGAAAAAGGATAAATGAATTTACCTTTAAATAAATTTTAAATTTATAAAAATTTATAAATGTATAAAAAAATTATAAAAAAATTATAAAAATTTTATACAATTTTATAAATCTTTATAATAAAAAAATTATATTTTTTTAAAATACATTTTTTAAATTATAAAAGGATAAATGTTTCTCTCTTGTAGTCACTGAACACCTTACCTTGAGGTAGGATGATATAAGTGTTGATTTCTAATGAAAGCTACCATGGATCGGATGCTATCACACATTTTCCAACACTAGAGATGTGTACCTTCATGAAAATCAAAAAGAAATTTAATCCCTCAAAATGGTACCGGTAGCCCAAATTTGGGGTCCCGTCTCATGGCCTAAATGGCTGGATGCATATCTTAATTTTAAAATTGGATGTGTAAACTGGACTGTGGAGAATATTTTTTGCTTAAATAAGAGTTTAAATGGGATTTCAATTTGATAATTGAAATGTCAAGAATTGTTTCTCAGGTCTTGGATGATTCTTTCTTCCATAATGTCTCTTTCTCTCCCTCTAACTTTTTCTCGGTGCTCTCGTTCTCTGTGTGTCAAGAGTGTGAATGTCACGGCCACGCAGAGAGCTGCCACTTCTCCCAGCGAGTGTGGCTGTCCACAGGGGGCAGTAGTGGGGGCGTCTGCGACAACTGCCAGCATAACACTGTGGGCCGCCGGTGCCAGCGCTGTCGCCCTGGATACCACCGCCACCCTGCCAGACCCCTCAACTCCCCGCATGCTTGCACACGTAAGACAGTTAGAAAGAAGAGAAGGAACAAACAGACAGAACAAAGGGTTCTGCTCTCAAATAGTTGTTTTTAATTGAAATCAAATTTGACTTATTGTATCTTATTAATGCACATTCCTGGTCTTATAGTGAATGATTTATTAGTGCATATTATTATTTTGTAATTTTTTAGAAAAAAGAGAAATTTGTAATCGTTAACTTTATAATAAGGTGTAATTTGTTAAAGGTACAATTTTGACCCTCAAGCGGTTAAAAAACATAACTGCTTGCAATTTGCATGAACATTTTTTTTGGTTGTGCTTTAGTTCTGTGCGGATGAATGTGTTTATCCACTGCTCATATAACATTCATTACTGGGCTTTAGAGATATAACCAGTTTATATGGAAAGGATCTCAAGTTGACTAGCTGAAGACATCAGGTCATTACTGAAATGAGCCTTCACAATAGATCATGCTTTACAGTGAAATCTGTTAAAGCTGCAGTAGGGAGTTTTGAGAAAACGTTGACTTCGCCTGAAAATTTGAACAAGCACAACTTCCAGGTCCCACCCCCTTGCTCTCTGCTGCGCTACAGCCCTCCTTCCACAGCTCGTCCTCCACAGCGGAGCCTGTCGTGAACGCGCAGGCTAGTAAACAGGGCCACCGATAACAGCGGATAAAAAGTTATATGGCACATTCACTAATAGGGACTAAACGTCAATAATATGCTTTACATTGACTATGGCCTGCCCATACTTTGACTACAAACTTGGTCCTCAAATCATTATGTATTTTGCAATAGCCTACATGTAACTTTATAACGTTGCACTCTTTCTATAAGTTATAAATAGCTAGTTAATATAACGGTAACTAACGTTACAGTATGCAAGTAATTATTCTAGCGATACATAATGCTAGATAAAGGTGTGCTAGTACATTATTTCAGCAACATGACAAGCCAGTGAATTAGCAGGTTTCAATTGTTGCTTAGCAGAGTGCGTGACATTTTATCTACATGTTATGCGGCTAGAGTTTTGACACCGAGTCAATGGGCTCTGTGTAATTCTTTCTTTTTCGCTTGTTTATCGTCATCAGTCTTTTTCCTTTTACCTCTGTTTTATGAGCAGGTGTCACTCAAGAATTGGCAGTTTAGGCTGTTTCTCCGTCATAAGCACAGCTGCAGCATGGCGGCAATCTTGAGTTTGAACGACGGTACGCGCAACGCGCTGTGCAAGAGAGGGGTGTGATCAGCGCGTACACGAGCGTGATTGACACTGCTAAGACATTCCTCCTGGCTCTGATTGGTTGTTTCTGACCGGGAGCGTGTATTTCTTGCAAATGGCAATAGGACCACTGGGAGGAGCCAGAGGAGCTTGATTTTTACACAGATTATCTTTCTCATATTCTACTGTCAGGACATAATGACAGTTTTAGCAAATACATTTTTTCAAAAGTTACCTACAGCAGCTTTAAGTTAATAAAATACCTTACTCACCTGCCGAGTAATAAAAACGCCAACTTCGCTATTACAACATTTAAAATTCCTCTCGCCATCTCCTAAAAGCCAAGCCAATGTTGATTCTTGTTTTATTACGAGTTCTGTCGTGTTCTTTTCTTGCAAACAGAAGCTTCTCTGTTCAGCGTTTTTTTTTAAATGGGCGGATTCCTGGAGATTCGAGATTTAGCTGCTCCATGTCATTCTTTCTCGCTCGTTGCGACAACTGACCTATGCCACTCCCACACCATATATGCGTCAAAATAGCTCAGTGCAATAGGAATACAATAGGAAAAATGAAAAAAAAAAGTCCTTTAAAATAAAATAAACAACCATTACCAATTCACTAAAAAACTCCTTGGCAAAAGAACACCTTAGCAGTCACATAGCTATGTCTTAGCAACTATTAAACCTTAGCATAGTGATGACATGTTTTGCATGGTCAACCACTTCTCATTTCCTTCATAAAAAAAGGAATATATAAACATAAATATATATATTTTTTTTTTTCTCAAAATGGTTATCATTTACACTACAGTCTTTCATTGCCTCCTAGTGGCGGCGGTATGACACAGACCACTAAAGTGAATCAAAAGCAGTAGGAAGAACTAATGAACCAAAAGTTTATTAACCTTCTTTTCTGTGGCAGGATGCTGGTGTGACCCATTTGGTTCGGTGCCAATATATTTCGGCGATGAGACACCATGGTGCCATCCTAGAAGTGGACAGTGCCACTGTAAACCTGGTGCGGGGGGCACCACCTGCAGCCACTGTCTACCAGGGTACTGGGGCTTTGGAGAGGAGGGCTGCAAACCTTGTGTGTGCCCCTTGACCTGTGACCCCATCACTGGTCATTGCCTAGATAGGTCAGGCTTATGCATACACAAGCTAAATTTTCAGTTCTCTCTGTTCTAAAATATAAGAAGTCTTATTTATGATTTGAAATAAAAACATTGAGCATTAGGAATCTCAAAACCAAAAATCCAAGTCGAATTTGAATTGCATATCTGCTGGGGATTTTCAAATATCATTGATTTTCATTATATAATTTCCCTTTAACAGCAAAGGCAGTGTGAAGCTTTACAATGTACCAATTGGTGGGAAAATTCCTGAACTGTCCCACTTTAAACCTCAAGAGGACGAGAGGGCGTGGCCTAAAGAACTTGCCGTCTCTGCACTGTACTATACAGGTGAGCTGACTACTGTAACAAAACACTTTTGTGAAACATGGTAAACCACAGCAGGACATGTGACTTCAAGATGTTTTTTGTTGTTTTTTCAAAAATGTGGTTTTATATGTGGTTCCTTAAAATGTAAGGCTGAAATGATTATGTATTGCAATGTAAATGGGTGAATCTCACAAACCTGAATCTCATGTCCAGGTCACGTTTCATCCCAAAATCCAAATAAAACTTTACAAGTGCCCTATTTATGCTATTTTAAAGTTTCCTAATGTTGTTTTGGAGTCTCCTACAACAGGTTTACATGCATCAAAGGTAAAAAAGTTTCATTTTCTCATAATATACATTTGCACATCACCACATTTTCAATGATTCTCAAACGACTCGTCAGATGAATCAATCTCTCTAAATCCCTCCTTTCCACAAGCTACTCTGCTCTGATTGGCCAGACAGCTCAGTCTGTTCACTGTGATTGGTTTACCGCGTACAGCGCGCGCGTCGAAAACAAAAACGCCCATTGCCATAACAACGTCAGCTCTGCTTGTCCTTTGGCTTCCTACACCGTAAACTAAACACAGTAACGAACAATGACGTCGATTTTACCATATCAATCTGAGCGCGAGTCCGATGATGAAACACTGGAAGAACTAGTAATTCAACCCGAACCTTCATCGCAAGGACGACTCGAGCAGGACTCAGTGTTTCTCAGTGATTCACTACTCAGTTTGAGGTACATTATGAGATGTTGCAACTGTAATTCCTCACCATCAGCATTAACAAGTGCATGTCCATCAACAACCGATTATTTTACTTGTACTTATTTATTTACAGAGTATGTTTCTAATTTATTGCGGTAAACGTGGAAACTGTATGAATAACAGTGCATAGTACATTAGCATATAACATTAACATATAGTACATATAAACGTTGGTAAAACAAATCTTGCTCCATGCTTAATCTTTCCTCAAAGTAGTGAGAACGACTGACAATCTGCATTAATAGACACAGTTATAGGTAATAGTGGCCCACAACTGATTAGCAGAAGTATTTCAGTAAGACAGTAATAATGTGAGTTAGCCAGTTAGCAGGAGACCTACACAATATAAATTCAAAACTAAGTATTCTGAACACCATCTTTCAAGAGCAAGCGAATCCTACACTGAACTCCGGGATTTGAGAAGCAGTCGTCAGTAAAATAAAGGGAACACAGCAAAAGTTTAGGATTATACTGTTGTGGTATTGTGGTAAAGATGAATTTTAACCACTGATTCTTCACATGCTCGTCTTTGGGCAGTGAAAAAAAACTGGCTTTACCGTCACATTGTAGAGCACAGCGTCTTCTCGACATGATGCTGTCCAGTATCCACAGGAATCAGCTGCAGTGTTTCAGGGGGTTCAAGTTTTCCCTGGTGTCTGCGCGCGCAATAAGTGGGCAATATGCTAATGTTTCGTCTTGACATCACAACGAAACGGCTTATGACTTGTTTGAAAACCGATTGATTTCATTGACTCATTGAGTCGACTCTTACTTTTGAAAGACAATAACTGCGGTGCACTTTCAGATTTAAAACTTTGCAGGATGTTTTCATTCACTTAGAGCTATGTTACACACTATATGAAAGGTAATTTTCAAAAATCCATAATAGGGGCACTTTAAGGAAAATGAAGCATATTTTAGCATCATTAGAATTTATTTATTTATTTTTTTGCATTGTGGCATTATTTTCATGACACCATACAGCAAAATTTATAAATAAATAAAAAAATCCTTTATGTAACGCAAAATGATTATACAACAGCACCATTCAAAAGTTTGGGGTTAGTATGATTTTTGTATGTTTTTGAAAGAAGTCTCTTATGCTCACCAAGGCTGCATTTATTTGATCAAAAATACAGTAAAAAGTTATATTGTGAAATATATTTTGATAATTTAAAATAACTATTTTCTATTTTAATGTATTTTGTGCTGCTTAATATTTTTGTGTAAACTGTCATACATTTTTACAGAATTCCTTGATGAATAGAAAATTCAAAATAACAGCATTTATTTGAAATCCTCAGTTTATCATTAAAAAATGTGACTGCATTAAATCTTAATGGTCCGACTTTAGCATATTTTTGTGAGATTAAATGAGTTAATATGTACAGAACTTGTGACGTTAAATGTGAATTCTCTCCAGGGAAGTGCAGCTGTAGAGAAAAGAAGCTGAAAAGTGTGGCTGATCTTTGCAAGATAAAATATGCATATGGTGAGGCTTTTTCATGATATTAAATAATTCGATTAATCAATTCTGATAGCATTTGCTGTCTAAACAGACATTTGAATCTAATGAGTGAACTGACTGTTTGTGTTGGCCGTAGTGATCAAAGCCAGTGTGCTGTCAGCTCATGATAAAGGCACACACGCTGTTGTCTTGGTGAAGGTGAGGAAGGTCTTCCGTTCCGGAAAACTGCCCCTCTCCCAGGGCACACACAGTCTGTACCCACTCTCTTGGACCAGCCGTGGCTGCACCTGTCCCATCCTCAACCCAGGTACACCATATAATGCCTTAAGTATAAAAATGTACTGTTATCTGGGCCACAGCTTGGGTTCAGTCAAGTTTGTCATTATAGTAGTCACTGTTTTGTCTCCATCTTAAGGTGGGAACTATCTGCTGGCAGGTCCTGAGGAAGTGGACTCAGGGAGGCTACTGGTCACCATGCAGAGTCTGGTAGTCCCTTGGACCCCCATCCTGGGCTTTCAGGTCACAGAAGCACTGCATCAGGGCTGCCTATGAGCACAAGTTTACCCAAATGTACAGTTGCACAACACCATGGAAGTTTGTTTCCGACACAGAATAAAAAAGGTAATTGTGACATTTCTTACAATTCTGACTTTTTTTCCATCAGAATTCCAACTTTATAATTTGCAATTGCGAGTTTGTTTTGAAATTCTGATTTTATAAGTCGCAATTGCTATTGTCAATTTTGAGAGAAAAAAGTCAGAATTGTGAGAAATAAACTTGCAATTATGTTTTTTCCTCTCAATTCAGAGTTTTATATCACACAAATACAACTTTCACAATTGCAAGTTTATACAGTATCTCACAAATCTGACTTTTAGCTCACAATTGTGAGTTTGTCTTCCACAACTCAGAGAAAAAGTCAGAATTGTGAGATATAAACTTGCAATTCCGCATTAAAGTCAGAATCAGGAAATAAAAAGTCACAATATCCAGCAGCCATATCACCCTGTAGCCCAAGACTGGTTGCCCACTGATGCTAAGCAGGGCTGAGCCTGGTTAGTAGAGTAGTATGAAGCTGCAGACTCGGAGACCTGCATCTACAGTCCCCTTGCACCCAGAGTCCCGCATTCTCAGACCCCTCGTTTTTCGAGACAGCGCCTCCTATCAAATTGTATCGGATAAACATGTGAAGAACATGTGAAGAACTTAAGCCAAAACGTGAGTAGGCTATCTTCAATTTTATTTAGCGAATCGTAGTAGCCTACTCGTTTGATTTATTTTTTAATAAAACTAATTTAGCTCATCGATACAACATATGAATAGTCCATTTAATATTTGTAAAGATAGTTTGTAACAAGATTTGAGCCGTTAATGTATGTTTTTTCGCCCTCTTCCCCCCGAAAATATTTTGATAGCTAACGTTAGCCTTTAACCTTGGACTTTTTGTAGATATGTCATAAATGCTGCAGTGATTTTCACTACCCATTTTGTGCCCCCATATATTTCAAACCCACAAAGTTGTCCAAAGTTCAAAAACATCTCAAGGGACACTTCAACAGAGCAGTGCAACATGAAGGTAACATTTGCAAACATCTTTTGTCTTTTTTTTTCTTTCTTTTTGAAACATCATAAGACATGTGCTATCGGGTCTATACTGTTGTAGGCTATTCCAGGGTACACCATACATCGATGGAGTCTTCCCTGCCGAACCCAGCAACATATCATTTTATGATTATGCAAAGCGACTTATGAATTAGTTTTTTTAATGCAATTGAAGACGAAAAGTAAAGTCACGAACACAGTTTTTTCTTCCTTTTTTCTTTACAGCAAGATGATGTTTAGGTGATCATTAAATAAAGTACAGAATTGTTTATTATTGGTGTTTTGTCTATTCTGATTTGTTTTGCTTCGCATTCAAAATATCAAAAAACAGATTTTGTAATGTTAGCATGGTAATGTTAATTAGACCATTATAGCTTGAACTGAAAGAAAAATTGGAATTTGAATAAAAAAAATATAAAAAAAACATTGTAGCAATATAATATCACATACTATTTTTCAGAAGATAGTTCAATCTGTAATTGTATCCCTTCCATCGCAATGAGTTTTTTTTTTGGCACATGCATTAAGCAGGGAACGCAAATATTTATTGGATCATTTATTTGGAGACCGTAATATTGCATCCTATTGTTTTTAATTGCATTTGGATAAGCGTGTGCTGTACTCTGTGTGCGGGTGTTATACGATCTTTTGAACAGCAGGATGCGCTGTGTTCAAAAAACGAGGGGTCTGAGAATGCGGAACTCTCGGTGGGGGACTGTAGATGCAGGCTCCGAGTCTGCAGCTTCATAATATTGGGTTAGTACCTGGATGGGAGACCTCCTGAGAAAATCAGGTTGCTGCTGGAAGAGGTGTTAGTGAGGCCAGCAGGGGGTGCTCACCCTGTGGTCTGTGTGGGTCCTAATGCCCCAGTATAGTGACGGGGACACTATACTGTCAAAGAGCACCGTCCTTCGGATGAGACGTTAAACCGAGGCCCTGACTCTCTGTGGTCATTAAAAATCCCATGGCACTTCTCGTAAAGAGTAGGGGTGTAACCCCGGTGTCCTGGCCACATTCCACCCATTGGCCCCTGCCAATCATGGCCTCCTAATAATCCCCATCCACTGAATTGGCTCTATCACTCTCTCTCCTCAACTATAGCTGGTGTGTGGTGAGCGCACTGACGCCGTTGTACTGTGGCTGCCGTCACATCATCCAAGTGGATGCTGCCCACTGGTGCTGGTTGAGGAGAGAACCCCTGATATAATTGTAAAGCGCTTTGGGTGTACAGTAGCACATATGAAAGCGCTATATAAATGCCTCATTCATTCATTCATTCACAATTACTTTTTTTTATTTCCTGACGGTAACAAGCTCCATACATCACTGCCCAAACTTGAAAGCCCTCACTTGAAATGATACCATTGTACCAAAGCAGGGAAGCTGGATACTCAATGTACCATAACCACCGGATGCAACTGAAATAGAATGTGGGTAATTACCAGAAGCAAGATTCATGAAGCAGTCGCATGGCAAAGTGCACTCAATAGTCAGTTAAAATAAATACAGTTGTCATACAGAACAAGTTGGGCAAAGGCTCTTCAAAAACAACTGTTCATTTAGGTGGCTGTCTTGTGGACATGAATATCGTAAATGCATAAACTCAGAACATGGATATGGCATTCATGAGCCTGATTGGACTGTTTTTGTACTTCTCTGTGATTATTAGATTATAGTCATTAAAGGACACTCTAAACTTGTTTTTTTTTTTTATATATATAAAAATGGACAAATGATAAATATGAGCCAGTGAATCCATAGGCTCACAAGGACTGCAGGGCATTTTTGTGATTCATTCATTCATTCTTTTGTATTTTATTAGCTTCTTTGCTTACAACATTTCAGTATCAAAAATACATTTGAACATGTCATAATTGAAAAAACAAAAGGTATGAAGGACTGATTCAAATTCTTCCAGGGCTTATGCATGATTTGGCTCTGTATATTTTATTAAATCATTTTACAGATACATCACAGATGAAAATATGAGATTTATTGTTTAATCAAAACAAGAATGATCACATTAAGGCTTTGAATGACAAATTTCAACCCAAGCACAGTTGCTCTTGGTGACAAAACAGACAGATTCAAATTCTTTACATTAAGGTCTTATTTGTTTAACATTAGTTAATTACTCAAACTAACAATTACCAATATACTTTTACAGCATTAACCTTTGTTCATGTTAGTTCACAGTGCTAACAGATACAACTTTTGATTTTAATAATGTAAATGTTGAGATTAACATTAAACCAAGATTAATAAATGCTGTAGAAGATTTGTGCATTGTTATTAGTTCATGCTAACTAATGTAGTTAACTAATGTTCACAAATTAAACCTTATTGTAAAGTTATCATGACACTGATTGAATGCATCAATAAGCCACATGAGCTTAAACATATTTTAAGGTTACAAAAAGGATCTGATATCAGAACAATTCCTAAACACTGTTTAATGTTAGCAATAGCATGTGTTGAGAATGGATCTAGAATTATCCCTCGATGTTAGATACTTCATTTAAACAAAACCTACTAGTCTCTGGGACAACAGATATTTGAATGTTCTTACTGAACAGAAGATCTTATTTTTGACGTGTTGATGTTTCCCCATTATAATCGTTTTAACGCCAAAATTCTGTATCATCGGTTGAAAGACGAGTTTACTCACTCACGCCCTCTACTGTTTGTACTTGCAACTTTAGGCTACACGCTTTCAAACCTCAACAACAGAACATTTCTTCATCATAAAATTGTTTAATCGTGTTCTACACCAAAAATCAGCACAGGAAATGTATATAGACTCGTTATTTTTTTCATCCCAAAACTGCACAGTCGTCAAAGTACAACCGCCAAACGACCTTTGATCTGTAGTAGTACAGAAGTCAAACTAGCTAAGCTTTGGTTTTGGAGCAAATAATAACCAGAAAATACAAAGCTGGATGATTCATAGGGGGCCATACTCACCATACAGATCCCCAAAACTCATTATTTATAGGTCCCTCAAGTGCATGTTAATGTCATTTGAATATTTTAATCAAAAAACCTGAAGTTTAAGGGCTTCCCCCATCTCTATGCATCATGCAGTCAGGTGGAGAGCATCGTAGTTATCCAGGGGCGGATTTAGATATGATCTCTGCATACACGAAAGTGGAGCTGTCTCTGCTGTGAGGTGCGGTGGGAATGTAGCCAGGATAATATTAGCTAGCTGCTGGGTTTTCTGTGGCTGCTGGTGCGGAATCAGGAGAGGATGTAGGGAGAGAGTCAGTGGAAGTGGATTCGCTGGGTATAGTATCAGCCCCACCAGAGGGGGCGCTGTCATTGTCGTCTTCCTGGGGGTAGAGCTCGGGGTATTTCTGCATACACTCCTGCATACTCCGGAAGTTTTCCACACAATCGGACCCCTTCACCTCCTCTTTGCTATAGTGGAAACAAGAAAAGGCTTCCTTGAACTGCTGTCCACAAGGGCCACTGGCCATACCGCCCAGACACGGGCAGTTCCAGTTTATGTCACCATTAGGTAGAATAAGGCCTGTAGGGTCAAATGAAATGAGCGTCAAATTAGTATTCTGGAGGTAAGACATTAACATATTTAGGCTAAACTATGCAAAATGATCATTATTATTTTGTACATTCATTTTTGTATTTTGTAAGTAAATCAAACTTACCGTGATCTTCATACGGATCATTAGGGTCATCTTCGATTAGCTCAGCGTTACTGGGTGCTTCATGGTCCTCTTTGGTGACAAATATGACGCGATCTTTACCTATTGTGAGAAAAGAATGAAGTTACACACAATGATAAAATAAGAATATTTTCTATTTAAAAACATAATGGTAATTGACTTCTATACCAGTGTTATTAACTAAAACTCTTAAACATTTTCTGTGATTAAAAAATTACATACACATATACTGAATTTCCCGAAAGGGATGAATAAAGTATTAATCATCATCTTACACACACACACACTAAAAATTACAAAAGCACATGACAACTAAAATGAAAATGAAAAGATAAAATAAAATAAGTCAATTCTAAATATTAAAAAAATACTAGAGTACACACATTATATATGCACTGAACTCAATTTTGAGGGCAAACATCCCCCCGATGTCTTACAACCATGATTAAACATCACAGACACATTGGACTGCAAATTCTGAGTAATCAAAATATTACACTTTATAAAATTATCCACAAACAGTTAAACACAATCTGTACACATGGAATAAATGAACCACTGAAGCACACGTACTGTCATGTCAATACATTTATGTGCCAATGTGTAATATTCTGTGTTGAAGTTTATATTGTTAAAATATTTATATCACTCTGTTCATAATGGAAAAAATAACCATTATGTATAACCATAAAAATAACCATAACCAAATAAAAAAAATAACCATTTGGTGTACTTTAAATTACGATGACCTTGCAGGCGTCTGCTTATGTAGGGTGACACAACATACAACGTTAGTCATTCAGTCATCATAGCCTCAAGTTCATCTATAATTCCACCAGTAATACTTCACCAAACTTGTACACACATAATATAAGATAGTTTAGCACGACACATTTGAACACATCTAAAAAGATCATTTGCAGCCGATAAATATTTAAATAACTTATTGATATTATGAGCATGGGTGGGGAGAGTGACTTTTGCTGGCATGAGCACTAGCCGCACAGCTAAACGACAGTAAAACATGGGTATAAAATGGGTTTAAACAGTCCGATTTAATTTAATCATACCTTCCTGTTTGCAGTACGACATATCTGCTGACAGATCCGTCTGATTGCCGTTTATCCGATCAATGAAACTCAAACACCGGTACAATGATCAATCCACACGCCTGTTACATCAACCCCAGCATGGAGGCAGGCAGCTACAGTAACCACGTGACGTCACAGCCGGATTGTATCAAAATAAAAGTCATCATGACATTTCAAAATTGAAGGGAATAACGCTTCCATTGAGGGAGTAATAGTAAGTTGTTACTTTTCAAATGCCTTATATCATATGTACAGATTATATTATTTTATCATTGTCCAAGACCCAGACTTAAGCCTTAAACTATGATAATCCATAAAATAATAATTTGATAATCCATCCTAAGCAAAGAGTGAAATAAACACAAACTGCTGTTTATTGTTAACTTTATTAAATTATTATTATAAAAAAAATTTGTAATGTATTCTTTTGGACATTGTAGTAAACAACGTAACTACCCATGTGAGAGTGTGAAAAGTGTGTGGGAGTTTATTTGGTCCCTGAGTTTAAGAAATAATCAGTTTAAGAAACAAACAAATCTGTCAAATAATTGTTTGGTTTTAAGACAGCAATAATAATTCTAAAAATAATACTGCACTTTTCTGCCGTTTTTGTGTGCCGGCTGCCCAGTTTCTTCTTTATTACCTTGGGAATCCCAGTCTCAGGAGACTGAACAGTTGCAGCTATACTGTCATGCCCTCAGACTCCACTGACAGCTTGTCAGGAAACAGCGTGCAGCCTGTGTTTTACTAATTAACTGAGGTACCTGAGGTGAACTAGATCCCTGTGTTGTTCAGATGGCATCCCTCATTACAGAGGACAGGGATGAGTGCTAACATACTGAGGGAAACAAACAACACTTTTACTGGGGTGTGTGTGTGTGTGTGTGTGTGTGTGTGTGTGTCTGCCGTTGAAATGCTCTTATGCTCACCAAGGCTGCATTTATTTGTTTAAAAAAAATAACAGTAATACCAAACTGACCCTAAACTTTTGAACGGTAGTGTATAATGTTTCAAAAGCTTTCTATTTCAAAAAAATGCTGTTCTTTTGAACTTTCTATTCATCAAAGAATAAAAAAAACTGTAATACATAATATATATTATAATATATTGATATAAAAGAAACGTTTCTTGAGCAGCAAATCAACATATCGTTAGCCTCATAGCATAACTGCCTATTTATTCATTTTGTGTTTTTTCTTGTTTTCCAAAGACATTGAAATATGACTTAGGCAATTATGCTATGAGGCTAACGATATTAGAATGATTTCTGAAGAATCATATGACACTGAAGACTAGAGTAATGATGCTGAAAATTCAGTTTTGCATCACAGGAATAAATGACATTTAAAAATATATTAAAATATAAACAGTTATTTTAAATTGTAATAATATTTCACAAAATTACTTTTTTTTTTTGCATTTTTGATCAAATAAATGCAGCCTTGGTGAACATAAAATACTTTCTTTTCTTTTTTTACATAAAAAATCTTACCAATCCTGAACTTTTGGACGGCATTTTTTACACACACACACACACACACACACACACACACACACACACACACACACACACACACACACACACACACACACACACACACACACACACACACACACACACACACACACACACACACACAGTTTATAATAAAATATTCCATACAAAAATAAGAACTGTCCATTATGATTTCATGGTGTATGGCCGACCATACAAGGTATTTTGGTTTAAACATACCACAAGGTGGCAGCATCTGTTTTAAGCACTGTTTAGCAGCTTGGTGACAGTGTTTCTTAATCTTTAGTAGAGAAACATCCACATTCTAAAAAAAAAAAAGAAACCAGATAAAGCATACTGAAAACACCTTCCATCCACGTTATGCATCTCTTTCCCTTCTCCCTTGCCTCTACATCCTGTTTGCTCTGGCTGCTTGCCTTTTATACAATGTCGTTTGGAGTTTGCCCTCTGGTGGCAGCTGTCAGTATTCTTGGGGTTGTGTGGGTGACCTTCAGTCACTTTTTTGTCTAGAGCCTTGAAGATGTAGAGATGTAGAGCTGCTACATTGAATCTGCATTATGTCACACCAACCATCTTTACAGGCTCTCTTATCATTGAGTGCTGCTGGTGGATGTGGTGTGACCTGTGACGCAGCTTCTGCTAACCTTGAAAGATGTTCACGTCAGGGAACTGTATCGATCTACCTATGAGATAGAGAGCAGCTTGAAGGATTAGTTCACAACAAAAATTAAAATATCATTTGAAATGATCAATGAAATATAATTTAAATAGAATATGTATGTATGTATGTATATATATATATATATATATATATATATATATATATATATATAAAATACACACACACACGCTATGTCTGTATGTGGTCACTGTATGCCACTATTATGGAAAATAGCAACATAAAAGTTCTTCAGAACATCTAATTTTGTGCTACACGGAAATTTAAAATCACATGGGTTTGGAACGGCATCAGAAGTTTTCATTTTCATTTTTGGCTGAACTATTCCTTTAAAACTTTTTTTCTGAGTCTGTGTGGCCGGCTTAGCTATAATTGTTCTCTGTCTGATCAAATAAAGGAGCTTTTAGGATATGATGAATATGAGAGATAATTATAGAGTTCTATGCTAGAAATCCCTTGCTTTCGTTTACAAAACAGCTATATTGTGAGTGTAAAATAAATAGAGCATTCTTGAATTTATTGAAGCCGTGTAGGCGGTCTATTGCTCGTTGACTGGCTATCCGAAAGCTTATATAATTGCTTCGGTCTGGGCATAGCATGCATGTTGGTTTTACTTGCGTTCGAATCGCTGAACAAACAATCTCTCTTTGTTATTTGCTATGTGTGGGTGCAGGCTACATATAGGCTAGCTGTTAATTCATAAAAACTTTCAGATCATGTAGCCTAATATTAAATTCAATCTAAGGCGGATTTTCACAGATTGGTGGGTGGCTGGCTGGCAATCTCACACTTTGCTTCTTCATACAGCCTGAATCAGACGTTGCCTCATGCACTCTGTTTGTTCTATTCTTCATGATCTGTGTCCACAGTGTCATCCAGACCCTGACAGAGAACCAGTGTAAACCAGGTCGTTGTGGATGGACGATTGTTTTTGTCACAAGAGAAAAAATTCCCTACTGTTTTTGCATTGAGATCAGTGCATGTTGGCTCTGTTGTTTTTGGGAAATGCATTAAAATTCACTATACTCTTAAAAATAAAGGCCTGTTCACATCAAGAACGATAACTATAATGATAACTCTATGGACGATATCGTTCTGTTTATTCTAAGTGCGTGCTTGTCTGTCACTTTAAAAGGCTTGAGCTTGTTACAGCAGGATGGATTTTGATTTGCTGTCAATGTTTTTATCGTTCATCAGCTGGATAAAATCGTTCTGAAAGGGATTCCAACGAAATCGTTTCTCTGTGCCGTTATAGCTGTGGTGTGAACTCTGCTATTCTTTAATAATGAGAACGATTTTTAGAACTATATCTTTATCGTTATCTTTATAGTTATAGTCCTTGGTGTGAACGGGCCTTAAAGGGATAGTTCAGCCAAAACCGAAAATTAGCCCATGATTTACCCTAGTCCTAGATGTATATGACATTCCTCTTTCAGGCGAACACAAGCGGAGTTATATTAAAAAATGTCCTGGCTCTTCCAAACCTTATAATGGCAGTGAATGGATGTTTCTGTTTTGAAGTCCATAAAAGTGCATCTCCATCATAAAAGTGCTCCACACGGCTCCAGGGGGTTAATAAAGGCCTTCTGGAGCAAAGCGATGAGTTTGTGTAAGAAAAATATTTATATTTAACACGTTACAAAGTCAAACGCTTCTGGCCAAACGGCCAAACGCAGTCTACTTGCGCCTGAAAGCGCAACTTACGCAACTTGTGACGTCGGAAGTAGCGTAGTGCGTCATGGGATAGCTTAAATATCAGCAGTATGTTGATTAAGTTGAATCAGTATGTTTGTTTGGCCGGAAGCTAGTATTTTACTTTGTAACATGTTAAATATGGATATTTTTAAATATGCACCAGGGCCCGGTTCCCGATAACGCTCACTCTTAGCGCGCTAAGAAGACTCGAAAGATATCTTACCAAAGTTGTTTATGTTCTAAGTGTGTTCCCCGAAGTGTCCCGTAGGAAGCTTCTTAACACGTTGCCTATACGTTCGACGTTACAAAGGCGCTGTCCCAAGTGAAGGTGAGTTCTCTTACGAGAGGTTCTCTCGTTTTGCGTAAGCTAGCTTACGCTGCGGGAAAGATTCATCTTGCTGAGAATTTGAAGCCAAAAAATTATTTCATAATTTGTATCCATTGACAACGCAGTTCCTCTGCGGCAGACCTTGAGCAGGCTAGCTAGCGGCTCATTGGTTCGCTCAGAGAGAACTGCTTAAGCCTATGGGAGAGCGGAGCTGAACCCGCTGCCAATGAGAAGCGCCCGCGCGCTCATTGCGTCATGGCCCGCCAGAATGGGCGTGGCTATGGTGTATATAACAGTCTCTCCCAGGCTAATATGTTGATTCATTTCATCTTCAGAGAGCTACACGCTTCTGCTGACTTGAGAAAAGCCGTCGCCGTCGAGAAGGCATCACTCTAGCGAGCTCCCGGACCCTGAAGAAGCCGGCCGTCTTCGCCACCATCAGCCGCCCTGCAAGCTAGCGCCATCCGACGACTGTATCCTTCTCTCATTATCTAAAAGAGCGCGAGCGTCTTTTTAAAGATGCCTCGCTTCGCCTGCGGCTCTTGCCGCGCTCCTCTCGAGGACGGAGACCGCCATGTCATTTGCGCTCTCTGCCTGGGACTCGAGCACGCGGAACTCGCCCTCGCTGATGGAGGATGCGACTTCTGTGAGAGCCTGCCGTTGTCGTCCCTGCGGGCACGACTTCTGGCGGCTAAATCCGCTCCCGCGCCGCCTCTCTCTTCGCCGCGGAAGAAGAAACGCCGCGCCCAGAGGCCGCCGGAGCCGCCTGCGGAACCATGCGGGCCGCCGCCGCCGCCTCCCGCTTCCCGCTCTCCCTCCCCGCCCCAGCCGGACATACAGTTGCCGCCGAGTGGCCGCTCTGTCGCTTCCGATGACGCCGCGGAGGAGAAGGATTCCTGTTCACTGCTCGCGTCAG